CATGTCTTGTCCATTGCCTGGCGTAGTCCTCTACAGAATCCATAATATTTATGAAATTCCGACGCCAGTTGAAGGATCTGGGTTCCCTAAATTTAGGACCTTTTAAAATTAGTGATCTAAGGTCCTCATTATTAACTATATTTACTATATAAATAAATCCCCAAGATACTGATAACTGACATTATGCGCTGTTGTTTAAATTTTTTGCTGTTACAGAAATTGCACGGGATACCCGATTTCGCGGATTCAACGATACCCTGATATCGGGGACTATACGCGATTTCACTGATAATAGCCGATTTCGAGTATTCTCTCCATCCTGATTAAGGCTACATTACAATTACATGTATATATATCTAGATCAACATACAATATCATAAGGCCTTGCTATTATTATTTATTGTACCCATAAGTTAGTTTAGCAATTAGAATTCTTATATCATGGTGAACAATTTACATGTGTCTAGATAAAAGAAATGTTTTTCAATAAGCTGAGAAACTTTCTTAGATATCTGTTAGAAACACATGCGTATCTTCCATGTAATTCAGTCTTTTTTTAAGGACAGCAACTTTATCTGTATTCAGATCGTCATGTACGTTTAAATTTTTTAAGCAACTTCTGTATAAATGTCCATGTTTAAAAAGAAATGAATACAAAAAAAAATCAAGCCTCGCTGTCAGATTATATTGAGGATGCTGGGTTTAACTTTTTTAAAAATCTTAACGGGAATTAATTTTGCTCACGTCAGATAAGCTTTTTAGCACTGAAAGTTGATACTTGTTAATAAGTATAGATCGTGCTCTTGTAAGTCACGACAATGGTGGCAAGCAAACTGTCTATAAGAACGGAAAAAAAAGATTAAATCAATGAAGGAAGAAAACAATTAATGCTCTGTTGTTTTTTAAAAGATAATGTAATGTAGATCTGATAAAACGAAAAAAAAGGAAAAAAATCTTTATCCTGTTAAGGCATTGGTTGCAAAATGACGTACATAGGCCATGCACAAAATTACAACATATGTTTTGGGGGGAAAATTACAAAGCATTTTTATGGCTAATTACAGTTTCTTACGGTTGACTAAATCTTGGCAACCAACCAATTTTATTTGATACAGGTACAAATATAATCTGTTGATTGATCTGATGGTCGTCTGCGTCCGTTTTATACTCGTTAGATAGTACTTTCTCCCGATTTTCATCAAGGAAGTTTATTACAATTTAAGTTTGGGGTAAACGATGATAAATTACATATACATGGTACATATTTTTGATTTCATGAGAAGGACATGTGTACAGAATAACCCCCTCCCCTTTTTTCGCAACATGTTAAAATTTTCCTTGGATGAAACACACGTATTATCCTTACTTATACCATTTGGAAGGAAAAATTTCGCTTTGTAGCAGATCAAAATTTAAATGTATAAGTTTTATTTCTCCAACGGACACGCAGTGTATTATAGTATTTGAAAGGGGGATACGGATGGAAAGAATAATTGATATGCAAAAGAAAAGAACATTCAAAAAAGCCTGAAAATTTTTGAACAAAATTTTAAAAAAAAATAAATTAAAACTGCCCTATTTCTTGGCAGGAGAATATAATCTTTCCAATTAGTACATCGACGATAGATGTGAGTGAAAATTCAGATGAATATACATTGTACTCTAAATTTTTCAGCAATGTGTAGGCAAAATTTCCTCCACCAGTGAAACAACTATCATTGAATGGGTGTGGGCTAAGTGATATGTTGCATGTCACGTGTTTTTTCATATTATGTTGTCTGGTATAGTATTTTCTGGTGATATAATATGGCATGGTGTAGTGTTTATGAAGCTATACAATGTAATTCCTTTATAGAGTATGGTTGGTGCTTTTTGGCGGTGATTTTCTATCAATAGTTTTTGCATAATAGTGCTTTACATGTATGATTACTGTATATAAATCTAACATTAAAGCATTATATGAGCTGCAACTTTGGTGTCGGGGAATTTTTGTTGCAAATTTGTAATTAACTACTAGTATTTCAATGACAGAAGAAAGAACGTTTATAAACTTCTGTTGTTTATATTTGCGATGGAAGAACTATTTATAAACTTTAATTAAAGCAAAATTACATTATTGTCGTCTTGTACAACATTGATTTCTTAAATAATACTACACATTCCCCTGTACAGAAATCTTTCTTTTGGAAAAAATTAATACTTTATTTCAGTCTTATTGGTCCCTAAATGTTTAAATAACATACAGATTTATCATAACAGCACGTTTTAAAAGCAAAATAAAATGCTCAGAAATGCAGCTCATATTGCTTTAAATAATGGATGTGGTAAGTTGATATCTGATGATATATTTTTTTCATTAATGGTTGAATAGTATGTTGCTTTTTGATCATTCATTTTTGTATATATATATATATATATATATATATATATATATATATATATATATATATATATATATATATATATATATATATATATATATATATATATATATATATATATATATATATATATATATATGCATCGCTTTATATATATCATTTGTCAATTTTAAAGAAAATATAATAAATAAAAATAAAAAGATATTACTGTCATTTTTACATAACTGATCGGAATCAAATGACATAGGACTGACATTTAGAACAATTGTAATAACAAACTAAAACCATTGTTTAAGTAATATTTTGTCTACATTTTAATATACTTCTCGATGTCACTGATTTATAATCTTATTGATCAACGATTTCATCACGTGATAAAAAAGACAAGGAAAAGGGCAGGGTATGCGTATACAACGATAAGGTAAGAATGTGATTTGTCTTGCTTGATATCAACATGTCATATTTTTATTTAATATTGACACTCAAATTACCTTCTACAAAACAAACCAAAATACATATCCTGGTTAACTCATTACTTGTGCAGACCTTATTACTAAGGAATTGCCTATTTTACTCGTTAGTTTACTCGTTACGTTGGTAGACTCTATTACTATAAGGAATTGCCTAGTTTACTCGTTACGTTGGTAGACTCTATTACTATAAGGGATTGCCTAATTTACTCGTTACGTTGGCGTTACTAAGTAATTGCCTAGTTTACTCGTTAGTATACTCGTTACGTTGGTAGACTCTATTACTATAAGGAATTGCCTAGTTTACTCGTTACGTTGGCGTTACTAAGTAATTGCCTAGTTTACTCGTTAGTTTACTCGTTACGTTGGTAGACTCCATTACTATAAGGAATTGATCAGTTTACTCGTTACGTTGGTAGACTCTTTTACTATAAGGAATTGCCTAGTTTACTCGTTACGTTGGTAGACTCTATTACTATAAAGAATTGCCTGGTTTACTCGTTACGTTGGTAGACTCTATTACTATAAGTAATTGCCTAGTTTACTCGTTAGTTTACTCGTTACGTTGGTAGACTCTATTACTAAGGAATTGCCTGGTTTACTCGTTACGTTTGCAGACTCTAATACCTAAGAATTGCCTTGTTTACTCATTACGTTGGAAGACTCTTAGTCTAATACCTATAAGATTTTAATTCTTCATAAAGCAGCAGATTATTACTGAGAAAATAGGATGATAAAAAATTGCATTACATGTAAATGTATCGGTATTAAATGAAATTCAATACCTTTGATGTTCTTGATCCAAGTTTGTGGATAAGTCCGGATTCCCCCTGGTATTGATTTTCAGTTTTTAAATTTATATATTAAGGTAATCGCCCCTCCTCCCCCATTAGAAAATACGGACCCCTGGTAAAATATCATTTATATATATGTGTGTGAAGGAAAGGGACTTGTTCTAACACCACTCCTTTTGAAATAGTTTTTTTTTAATTATTTTATTTCGTTTTCATTTCTTTTTCTGTCGATGTTGTCGCCTTGGATTTCAAAATACACAAACTTTACACCAGATTTTTGTTTTTTTTTTCATACGTCAGAATTCATGTTATGTTGTTCCATCATAAACTGGCTGCAGTTCTCTGCAGCTCGATATTTAAATGGTTGTTCAGCGCTATTTTTTTTTTAATCAGACCATTGAGCTACAAACCTGCAGCGTAAATGAAAGTGACATTCTAGATGATCGAAGTGGATAATTTTTATGAAATAAATACGCTTTTCTGAACAAAATGAGACTTTTTAATTCTATTCACGAATTTACTTATTTCTGGAATCTTTGTTCAACACACGCTCGTGCATTGTTTTGGTCTTTGTACATGTTGTAAAGGTAGAACTGTCGAGGTCGCTTAACTGCATTGTAATTGATTTCTTAATTATTATTTTCTATTTTCTGTGTGATCCGGCTTTAGATTATTTAATAATCCACATCACTGTAACTCTGGAAGGAACGTCATCTGTATCCCCCCTATTGAAATAAATACAAAGTTATGAACCATATATCACCTGAAATCACGTTTGAAAACAGACATTATACAAACCGTTTTACAGAATTCTCAGATTTCACTTCCTCGAGATCTGTGTTATTTTCATATTTTAAAGGAACAAATTTGCTACAGTTTTAACAGAGAAATGTTTTATTCAACAAACAAATACGGATTTTATGAAACATAGTAATGCACATCAATGAAGGCAAAATCGGAAGGAAAATAAACTCCGCGTGGGGAAAACCCAGCCCCTTATCATGTTCCCATAATCAGCAAAAGAATTCGGATTTCTCTTCAGGAGTGTGGTACCTGCATCATGCATAGAAATTTAGTCTGTTCACTTGAAAGAATCGCAGAGGGCTCAAAAGTAGACTGTCTTTTTTGGAATTTATTGTATAACCAATATGTCTTATTGATAAGTGTATGTGTAAAAAATCATTAATTAGTATGGAAATACGAAAAGGTGAGTACAGTATAGAGATGGCAGGTTGACGAAGTCTGAATGAAATGTGATAATTGAAAGGATGGTGTCAAACATATTGATTCAGTTACAAGAATCTAAGTGACATTTTGAGACGCTCTGCTAAGATATATACGATGTGTTAGAACAGATAATGGCGGCGGAAAAGGCAAAGAAATTCCAGCAGGAGGGCAACCAGAGGGATGTAGCTGCGTACGCCCAGAATTATGGGGCTCACAGAGAGGGAATCACGATGAAAGAAGTGGCCGACTACTACACAGAGTGGGCGAATTCTAATAAATATGACGTGGTAATTAGTGGTTAATAGTCTGCCATTAGAAACTTTTTTCCCCAAGATTTTTGTTATAAGAAAAATACTGTTCATAAATTGTAATGCAACACTAGTATATAAAAAAATCTTAGATGTTTCCGGAGTGTAAATAAAAACTTTAAGGAATGACCTCTGACCCCATAATTAAATCATATTCAGAAAATTGTTGCCTTTAGACTTTTGTCAGAAAAAAATAGTACCCACATAAAATTTTGAGTATTTCATTTTACTACTGTAAAATTAAATTTGAAGAATAACTCACTCATATCTCAGACCGTAATTTACATTATATTAAAACCAGAATGACCTGTATGACTTTTATTGTGTATAGGACCTGGGACCAGACCGATATCGTGGACCAAAGCTTGCTGCTGAGACTCTTTGTGACCTGATTTCGGAACATCGTGAAAGTGTTCGAATCTTAGACATTGCTTCTGGAACTGGATTTCTTGGACAAGAGGTTACACTTTGATTTTTTTCAACCATAATTAACTTGACTAATTCTTCCTACAGTAAGCATGGTCTTAAATTAAATTTAACAACTTTGAATTGGGAAGGTGCTGAACTTTTTTTTGTAACATATTCGAGATTTCAGTGCAAGACATCTCATTATATAAGAATTATCTTTGTAAGAAAAGATGTTTAAATATATGCATAAAGAGTACTAGTATTGTTCTTTAATTAGTACAGTGCGTCCTTGCTTTGTAGCTCTGGGACAGGGGGTTTCGCTCAATCGACGGCTTAGACCCTTCAGAGGGAATGATTGAGGCGTCCAGGAAAAGAAATGTATATTCCAATCTCATCTGTGATTTCATGAGTGAGAAAATGCTGAATATTCAAACAGGTACATGTGTTCATATCATATCACGAAAAGTATATGTGAATATTTACGATTATTTTGAATATTCTTAAAATTGGTGGAAAAAATTAATTAGTATCTGTCTTAAGGAAGCTCTAAACCACAGGCACTTGTTTCGTATACTGGGCACCCCCTACTTATTTTTACCAGGTTGTCCCGTATACGAAACAAGTGCCTGAGCTCTAAACACTAAAATGAAAAAAAGGTTTTTTGGACTTTGAAAAAATTAAATTATATAAAGGTGTATACATATTGAGTTTATCTAGTTTATTTTCAACATAGGGTGCCGCACCTGCCATATTTCTCCTGGAAAAAATGTTCAAAGATATTGAAGTATAGATAGTTTTCATATGACAGATTTTTTCTCCGAGTTATTTCCCTTGGCCGCCATCTTGGTGGTCAACCTGATAATTTTTCCTCTTTGTCTTACCAAATCTAAGAGGGTGTAGCAGAAATATTTGGGGAAAAATCTTTATAGAATAAAAATTATGAAATAAAGGAGGCTTTAACAAATGTATATTTTTCAGAAAAACAATGCTTCTTACCCCACAATGGCCAGTATAAAAAGTCAAAGTTGGTTGAATAATGAAGGAATATGAGCATGTTGACCTCCAATATGGCGACCAACGGGAAATAACTCTTGCTAATTTGGGCCTACTGAAAACTATCTATTATAGCGAACAGAAATCACCGTTGTTAATTTACATTACGAAATTACCTGCAAATAACGTTTTCAGTTACTTTATCTAATATAATGCTAAGAATATTTTAATCTATTTCCAAATTGTTTATTTACTGAAAATTTCCCAGTTGTTCTATTTTACATCAAAGGGCAGATCACTGTAAGTGCATAAATGTATCATGGAATTAGAACTCTTCAGTGAGCAGTGTTTAGAGCTTCCTTAAAATGACTTTTTTTTTAATTCTAGATACCTATGATGCCGCTGCGATTGCTGGTGGTATGGGAGAGGGTCACATTCCATGCAATGCTCTGTATGAGATGATTCGTATAGTAAAACCTGGTAAGTTGTTCTTTCTGATTTACAGCAAAGTCCGATTGGTGAGTTGCTGGTTAATAATAAAATCTTTTGACTCACTATTATTGGTTTAAATTAAAACCTGATGAGTTTTTCTTTATGGTTTTTCAGTGGTGAAATCTGGTTTATAGTGTAAAGTTTTTTGTGACAATTATTTTAATCAGAAAATAAACATGGGATATGAAAGTGTAAGAATTTGCCGTAAGAATAAACAAACCTGGTAATCGGATTAAGGACAATGTAAACTACCAGGAAGTTTATCTATCTTGGGAAACAGCAGAGACATACAATATGTCTTTGAAAACAGTAAAGGAACATTGATAAAAATATTAAAGTTTATGTTTCAATTACAATTTATTTTATAAAATTCAAGGATTTTGTACAAATTTATTGAATAACTTGTTTACTTGAATCGGATTTGTCTATTTCATATGTAAATAAGCATTATTTATTGTACATTATAAAATACGATCTACGGCGCTCTTCCAAAAAATGCCCCTATAGGATTAACTGTACGACTCGCAACTCTCAGTTAAATAAACTCTTTGAAAACGACTATTTGTCTCATTGGCTTACAACAGTAAACATTGTGAGTTGCTCTTTCTGAGTTATAGTAAAACCTTGTGAAATGCTTTTTTTTTTTGGGGGGGGGGGGGTGGGGTGGGGTTGTGGGGGTTGGGGTTTGGGGGGTTTTTTTGGTTTTTTTTTTTGGTTTTTTTTTTTTTTTTTTTTTTGCTGGTTTAGAATCTGTTGAGTTGCTCTTTCTTATTACATGTAATAACCAAATCAAAGAGCTCTATTGTTAAGTTTTTTTTAATTTTTTAATAATGTTTTTTTTTCCGGTTTAAATTGTAAAAATAGTGCTGTTTGTTTGTTGCTCTTTTTCCCGACACGTGATTTTGAGATTGTTTGTGGCAATTCCAAGAGATGACATCGTCGTTTGATTTATGATATTTCCAAGTGGTTACATATTGTGACTGTCATCTTTGTTTTTATTTCCAGGTGGTTCCATTGTGATTGTCATCTTTGTTTTTTACTTTCAGGCGGTTACATTGTCATTGTAATGAGAGAAGAATATCTAGAACATGTCCAGGATTATAAAGACAGACTAGAACCATTAATGAAAGAATTGGAGACTTCAGGCAAATGGAGGAAACTAGCGAGAAAAGTTGTACCAAATTACTCTTTCCAAAATAATGGTGTCATCTTTATATTTCAAAAATGCTAAACCTTATAGACTGTAAATTTCTTAAGTATGGAGGTATATTACGTGGTCCAGTTTTACATAAGAATTTATGACTAAAATCAAACTGTTATTTTTGGATATTACTTTCTTTTCTACGTGAATTTAAAAAGCATGAAGAACGATATATGTATGCATATAATTTTTAATAAAATCATTTATTTTATAGGATTTTACTATCAGGTAAATTTGTTGGTCTTATAGTCGTGAGTCCTTTTGTAAAATGTACTACTTATTTGTCGTTTGAGTTAAAAAAAACTGAGTTAACAGTAACAATATATTTGTTATTGTATAAAATGTATCTGGGGTATATATTTTACAGGTTTATATCAATAAAAATATGGTTGAATACGAGTATTTGTCATATCCACATTATGTTGTGCTGTAATGTAATAAACTGATCTCGATTTCAGTTGCCATGACAACAATAGCATATTTTCTTTGTACCTTATAAACCGCAGAAGTAGTCTTCGAGTATTTAATTGACACATCTCCATACCAACAATAAAGTACAGCGATACTTGTAATAAGCATGTACGTATGATCTGTTGGGGGTTATTATATTTTCAGTATATTGATAACAATACCCGGCGATATTGAGAGGTCACTTAGAGGTCTATTGTGACGAACAGTAATTAATATTCTGTTTTGCACATGATAGCCATCAATTCCTTTGTGTGTGTGTGTCATTTACAGACAGGTAGACTGCCATATCGGCTAAGAGTTGTTTTATATATACTATTCTATATACTATAAGTTTATAATATTATATGAACATTACAGGCAGTAACTTTGTTTATAGTCTAATCTGCTCTCTAAATTTTCTACATGAAAATCAATACATTCAACCGGTCAACATTGAATTTCTTGCATGTAGATCCTTATTAACTTTATTAATAAAAAGATATCACACAAGCAAAATCTTAGATACTACGTAAACGATTTTTCTTATAGACTAGCCTGTCTCGTGAACAAAGAATTAAAACAACGGCTGTACAAATTGCTAGGGTACGTTCAATAGAAGATAATTATGGTGACTTTTACCAACATCTGTCAGCTATATATTACGTAATTCGTGAAGTGATTTCAAACGAACGAAACTACCGAACATCAAATAGCAATAATTATAGTAAGAAACCAGGATATATGATAGGAATTCTGTCAGAAAATTGATAGTTAGATATTTTTAAAACTTTTTAAATTTCGAAGCGATCATCTGTTACATAATCCCAACTTATAATAGATTCAATAGCTATACTTAAGCGCATTCTGACCCCCAAAGACCTTAGAATCGGAAATCGTCATCTAATGAATGATGAAGGTGACGGAATCAGCGAGGTTTGCCGAATGCTTAGATTCGGAAATCGTCATCTGGCTGATCATGCCCACATACCATCTTTCCTCTCTGGAAATATTTTCTAGTATCTTATCTCTGATGAAAGATCTTCTTATCACATATGAGAATATGTAGTATAGCAGAATGTATACGTTATATATGATTTTTTTTTTTTTGGAATTTGTCACAAGCCCTGATTGTAATGGGGTTTTTGTTTGGTTTATGGTATTTCTTTAATTTGTCACAATCACCCATCCACCCTCACACACACACCCTCTCTCTCCCACACACACACACACCCACACTCTCTCAATCTCGCTCTCCCTCTCTCTCCTTCTCTCTCTCTCTCTCTCTCTCTCTCTCTCTCTCTCTCTCTCTCTCTCTCTCTCTCTCTCTCTCTCTCTCTCTCTCTCTCTCTCTCTCTCTCTCTCTCTCTCTCTCTCTCACACCCTCTCCCACTCACACACAAAACACCCACACACACACACACACTCTCTCTCTCCCTCTCACACACACACTCACCATCCCACTCACACCCTACACCACACACACTCTCTCTCTCTCTCTCTCTCTCCCTCTCCCCTCACCCTCCCTCACACACCACACACACACACACTCACCCTCCCACTCACACACAAACACCCACACACACACACTCTCTCTCTCTCTCTCACACATACACTCACCCTCCCACTCACACACAAACACCCACACACACTCTCTCTCTCTCTCTCCCTCTCACACACACACTCACCCTCCCACTCACACACATACACACACACACACACACATACACACACACTTTAATAGCAGTACCTGTTCAAGAGCTACATCTTGATATGATTTCAAGAAATTTTATCTATTTATTTATGTCATGTTGCAGATTTTATTTGATAAAATGAAATATGTCAGAAACGACAACTTTTTTCATTGATTTTGTCGTTGCAGGTGTCACCTTGAGTCAAGGTCGTTATGTAGGTTCCAAGTACCTTTTACTAAAAAATAAATTGTAAGAAATTAATATAATGAGTACACAACAATTCTCATAATATGATTTTTTTTATAAATCACTTCCGGTCTGGTAGATGGTCTAACCCCCCCCCCCCCCCCCCCCACCGAAAGCTGACTTTAGAGTAGGATTACCCCGCCCCCCGGAAAAATAACTATAGATTAGGATTCCCCCCACAAAAACGGCTCCAGAGTAGAATTCCCCCATGGAAATCGCATTCTAGAGTCAACTTTCCGGTTTGAGGGGGTGTCATCCTTCCCTCCCATTAGAGCTATAGTTTTCATCCTCCCCTTTAAGTAATGCCCTGCATATCATTGTAAATTTCACTTCTGCATACATTGAAAATCAGAATATTTAATAAGAAAGATATTTACCTGGCGTAATTATTATGACCAACATTTGATTTACTTTAACAATAAATTAAGGTAATTTTAAAAATAGACTTAAGTCTTTAAAGTACACATTTTTAATCTCAATATTTAGTTATTGGATTTGGTGCTTTATGTTATATACACATTTAGATAATATATAAATGCAATGCACATCTTACAGCTCATTCAAGCGTTGATAGCTGTAATTTTTTTTGCCCTTATCAGTCCCTGATCAAATAAAGGGGGGGGGGGGTCGGTTGCAGTTCCCCTATAGATTCTAGAACGCGAAAAATTCTCCTAAAAATTATACATCATGTATCCACATCCTATAAAAATATATTAAATTAATTGCTAGAACTTATATGAAATTATAAGGGGGATCCCACTCTGGTTGATAAAAAAGGGGGGGATGACCCTAGAGTAGGATCCCACACCCACCCCACCCCGTGGAGAGTATGCTCTAGAGTAGGATCTCTCCCCCTTGGGGAAATCCTACTCTGGAGTAGAATTCTACCATGTGGAAATCCCACTCTAATACACCGGTATTTAGTCAACCATATAAATATATCTGGGTCAGCTTTGTGACATTCTGGCTCAATCCCACTGGGGTATATATATAATTGCTAAAGCAAAGGATAATGTGAGCTTCGGCCATATAGAGTGCTTATTGAAAATAGAGTTATGCTTCTTTACTTGTGGACAGATGGTATTTAGATCCGCTCACATATTGAAAGGATCTGATTTACATCAGATTGGAGATCAATCAAAGATAATCATGACTATGGTTACAGTCCTTGTTGTTTTAAGAAGCCTTTTCACATATCTACTCATTATCAATGAACTCGGAGTAAAGTTGATCGTATATATATCATTTTCTTTCTACAAAACACCACATGGTGCCGATAGTACAAACTGGTTTTCCTGAAGTCACTAGCAATGTTCGTCCAGATCTCATCGCATCTCCGCCCCTTATTAATTGCGAATTTTTTTTTTTTTTTTTTTTTTTTTTTTTGGTGTTGTTTAGTAATGAGTTTAAATTTAAATTACTGCCCTGGTATTTAAAGTATTATTAAAGAAAAAATTGTTTATTTTGAAATCCATATAGAAAGTGATTATGAATTTCAAAATAAAACATTTGCAATTTGTTATTCTTAATCGAAAATTAATATATATCAGTAAATAATATAAATCAAGATAACTTCTTTTCACCTTTGAGATTTGAATTACAATCATATTTTATTTATTGAGAAAAGGGGAAAAAGTAAGTATTTCATGTAAAGATATGGAAAGATCAATGTCCACTGAAGCCAACAACTTATTAATTTTGATAAGATTTTTTTCTGCTGAGTAGGGTGTAATTGTTTTACCTATCAATATTTTGGGGTTTACCGATAACATCATAAATATTGACTTTGACACGTAAAATACAGACGCCAAGCAGAGCATGCGAGTGACAATTCTCGAAAATTAAACACGCTTAATCGTTTTTAAAAGCTCTCCACTTTTTAATGATCAAGAGTTCTTGAACGTCGAGCGTTGTACATTCCACATTTCTACTGAGAAAACACCGGGTGATCGGCATGTCTGAATGCAACTGTTTAGAATTAAAATTTTCGTCATTCATCCCTTTTGAGCCTCTATTGAACTTTTCCACATTCAAACTGGAGAGAAATTTGTTTCACTTCCCCTCACACACACACGATGTGTTAATGCTTTTTGTCGTCAAATGTCAATAAGAAAGGAATAAAAACGCCAATTCGGTGATCTTAATCAGGAAGGATTTCTGAAACGAAATTTGGAACCGCCGCGCAACATTCTCAATAAAACCATTGACAAAAAGGGTTAACGGCATTCTTTGTATGGAGTGACTGCATTTTGGATTGAAAACCGATATTAAACCCATTGGAAATTCCTTAAATGGCTTCTGAACACATGTTACTCGCACTATCCTATCCAAAACAAGGATTTTGTAAGTAATGACATTTCACTTTTTTGTTTCCTTTTGTTTTCCGACTACATTTTGTACTGTTTCTGTCCCTTAAGGAAGATTATTACATATGTAAAATTTCGAGAAAATAAAGTGTATAATATGATTAACATCTCTTCTCCTTTTGATCATAGTTCTGTGTATCAATTTGTTTCCAGCCCAAGGAAGCAGAAAATTTTAACTACTTCCATCTAAATTCTTAAACAGCGCATTGAATTTTACACAAATATTTGATATCCATGTACCATATATTGACAAAAATTGATTCCATTTTTGCTGTGAGATTCCCTCCGTATGAATAATACATGAGATTTGAATTGTATTGACCATACCAATTCAGGGATTGAAAATGTATTGACAAAGACATGAAACACTTTGGGCTTTTCTTCCGTTATATAACAGTATTTTCCATTAAACACCCCTTTTTGATATGAGTATCTACCTCATTAAAGACTGTATTAAACGGAAATGATCGATGTGTTTGGATACATTAACTTTCTGAAAAGTTTTCTCCGGTGGTAAATATTTCATACAGAGAATTCTAAAGCTGGCATGTAGTTTGGTTGTATCCAGTTTGTCAATTTTTCAATACATCATTGATGTCAAAATTTCTCTAATCTTAAATCCATTTT